ATAGTATATATAATTGTACATATATATAATTACACATACGTACTTATATATAATTGTGTATATAAAATTTCCAACGTCAAGTTCAATGCAAACGTTCAGCCGTGTGGAACAATTGCCCGTTAGACAGGTGGCACGATGCAGTTATGAAAATTATATCTTTAGACAGAAATACAAACATTTATACATTGTATGTATGTGCTCGTATAATGGCAGAGTCGGCGCCATAACTGTTGTTGTGGGAGATTAAAGTTTCTTAAAGATATCAAAGAAAGTACTAGACTAGTAAGTAGTGTTCTTTTTAAAGTGTATAAAATGTTTATTACAAAAAATCACAGAAATGTGTATAAAGTGTCCAATATTTTGGATTTTTTAGTTTAAGAATTTTATAATAATTACTTTTTGAATGGAACTTCTGTCATATAATAACCGCAACTCATAAAGATCCTTTGGTTCAATTTCGGCCAATTTCGGCAGCTATAAGCCGATCTCAAAAATTTCTTCGGCGAATGTACCGATTTTTTTCGTGAAGATATCTTGGAAAAAATAAGTTTTACATACAAGGACTTTATTTTGATTATCAGTTTGTATGGCAGCTATATGCAATTGTAGTCCGATCTGAACAATGTTCTCTTAGATTGTACCGCTGCCTTAAAAAATAATCCGTGTCAAATTTCATAAAGACATATTGTCAAAAAATTTTTTTTCTATATCATGAATCACATGATTTTGATCGTTCAGTTTGTGTGGCAGCTATATACTAAAGTGGTCTAATTACAGCAGTTCCGACAATTGAGCAGCTTCTTGAGGAGAAAGGGACGTGAGCAAAATTTTAGATTGATATCTCAAAAACTGAGGGACTAGTTTGCGTATATACAGACAGACAGCCAAACTGACACACATGGCTAAGTCATCATGTATATCATTAATATGTATACATATCATCATATCATTAATATGTATAGATAATTTCAAGATAGATAAAAGATCTAATTGGCTGGCCCAGCTTCTTTTCCAGCTTGCAAAAAGCACCTTGAGATTTTTCCATAAATAAAAGGTCCTTTATAGTTTTTCAGTTATAAGCCGATTATAAACAGCTAAATTGTCACTATTTGAAATTTATATGTATATGTATAGTATGTATGCATGTTTTTGGAAACCTCACTCGAGAAACTGAAATTTGAAAGTATTTGCTGGCTAGAGAGGGGGCAGCATGACCCCACATAATAATAATTTTCAAAAATTTCCACCGGAATTGCATCTACTTATACCATAGATATGCATACTTACACATACATACTTAGCAAAGTGCATGCCTATCTATCACATGTATATATGTTTTTTTTGTTTATATATGTAAGTATTTATGTATGTATGCAATCCTCCAATAAAAAGCTACTATGAATCGAGTCGATGGCAATGACAATGCTGACGCTACCTTGGCATTGGCGCTTTGTGTAACGCGGCGATAGAAAACGCCGTTGCTTTATTGTGAGTATATGTATATTTATTTAATTGTATGTACTATATATAGGTGTGTGTGTGTGTATGTCTATTTATAGTATGCATGACTTTGCCGCCATTGCATTCTTCTCAAGTAATTTAGGTCTATTTAGCACAAAAAAACGATAAGTCGATTCGAGTTCAATGATAAAATCAGCAACAACACAACAAAAACACCAGTCAAACGTCAAATCCAGTCTGACTACTCTATTCGGCGGCAATTCAAATGCACAAGCAATATTAAACTCAAAAGCCACTTAAATACAAATCGAATGCTGTACAAACTGTATGCCAATATGAGTGATATCATTATTTCGAATGCATAAGGCTGAAGACGTATTCCGATTATGTATATATTATATTATATGTGTGGACAACGCTTAACGGTTCAACATGTTATCTGCTGTTGTCTAAACCATTTCGTTCCGATACATTTAGCATAATCAAGTGGTGAATAGCCCCGTATGCGAGATGCAAACATATTCAAAATGCGATAGTCAAATTAACTGCTATTCGTAGCGAGCGCCTTGCACTTGTGTATAATCGCCATATGTACATATAAAAATATGTACCAGTTGATTTTTATTGTTGTAATTGGTTCAATATTTGCATTTGAATGGCTTATTGATAAACAGCACCGAACAAACCGGCAATGCGAAGGTGTATATTTAATGATTTACATATATAAATATTGTATATATTCATATGTTTATGTAAATCGCGTCAGTGTAGCGTTATAACATCAGTTTTTGGCCTAATTTGCATTTTTCATGCAATTTTTCATTATGATAATATACAAAATAATTCACGAGCAGTAGCGTTAACCTTACCATCGTACGATTTCTTGCTCTATATGCTTAAGAATGCATCGCACAGTTAAGACAGTTAAGGTCTCTAGCTGTGCAAGGCTCTTTGTATGCCGGGTACTCGTAGTAAGTTGTGTTTTTTCATGGGGTCAATCGTGAGGCTTAAAGACGTCTTCGGCGCTGCCTTCTTGACCTTATGCCTTTTTCATTCTCTTAATATATGCCGAGATTTATGAATTATTAATAATTGGACAGAAAATGCAGCAATAATATGTTATATGCAAATTTAGGGTCAACACTCGCTTACGTTCGTTTTTGATTAAATTAGATGAGTTATTGATGAAGAATGCAAATAAATACCATAAAGATGTTACAGTTCAAGCGCAACGACATTTGTTATTGGTTAATTCCATATTGAAGTTATTTTATGCATTTAATTATTATTTAAATTAATGAAGTGGCGTCTACACTTTGCTTAACGACTTGTCGCGCTTGTCATGTGATCTAATTAACATTAACTAACAAAGGATGTTAAAGATATAGATATTAAATGCAGTTTTTTCATGTATAAGAGCATTGAATGAGATACTTTTTTATGTGGCAAATGTAATTAGCGGCTTAATATTGTCCGCCGAGGGTATTCACCTATAGAAAAAAGCGGTTATCTAATTTTAGAATTTGCTGCAGTCGATGTACGAATGCATAATCAGATGTGGACCTCGAAAAATGGTTATTTATTTGTATTATTTATTACTCCACATATTTGACCCCAAAATCAAGCGGAACAATTGAAACTAAACTTGTTATTATCATACATTTTATACTAATAACAGAATGGCATGAATTAGATTAAGGATTGCATACTCTTCCCATAAACTTTCTGGTTGGCTCTTTTCTGTTCACAAATTTGAGGAAATTCCTCGAAACAAATTTTAATTGGCCAACTCTAATTTTGTCCGTATATTAATAATATTATTTAAAAAAGAAGCTACTTTTCTAAAATATTTTACAACATTTAAAAAAAATTAAATTTAAAAAAAATTAAATTATTTTTTAAATATAAGTTCTTATTAAAAATTTCATCAATATTATTTAAAAGAACAAAAAATATTAAAATTAATTGTTTTTGTATTATATGTATATACAAGTATATATATTTTTAATTAAACAAAGAACTTTATTTTAATAAATAATTTACTATTTTTTAAATTTTAATTTTAATACTTATTACAGGTTTGGTTTAATTTTCATTTTTAATAAAGATTTAAATTTATTTATTATTATATTATTTTCTTTAATTTTTAATATAATTGTAAATTTATTTTGATATTTATAGTAATGAAATATAAAAAATATTTTTTTTATAAAATATTAAAATTTTCAATTCGTTTTTTTAAATTATTTTTTAAGTAGTATTTTTTATGTCGGTTATTAAAGTACAATTAAGATAACATCAAAGTCATTCATATGTCGTTAAATACATTTTTAGCATGATTACGAAAACCAACTTTCTTCTCATTAATTGGCCATTTCTAAATATTACTATCTCTATTTTTATAAATAATATAATTTATTAAAAGATTTTATTTTTCAAAATATTTTAGCACATTTTAAATATATAAAACAATTTTTGAACACAATTTTGATTATACATAAAATGAAATAATTTTTTGAATTTAAGTTCTTATAAAAAACTTCAAAAAAGTGATTATTTTCTTTTTATAAATTATTAAAATTAATTGTTTTTATATTTAATCTTTTTCAAATTGATAAATAATTTTTAATTTAAAACTTGTATTTTATTTTAAACAATTTTTTATTATTTATTAATTTTAATAGTTATTAAAGTTGTTAGTTGTTTTTTTTTTAATTTAAATTTAAAATATATGTAATTAATTTTTTTTTTTTAATAAAAAAATTTAAAATTTTAATTTTTAATAATTTTATTAGTGGTATTTTTTTATGTCGGTATTATAGCTATCTAAATTGATAACATCAAAGTCATTCACATTGCTGTATTTTTGCTTCATTGAAAATAAATTATACAAAAACCAAACTATTTTTAAACTTATAATTTAATTTTATTCCCAAAATTTATTTTGAAAAAAATACTTTCTTTATTTAAGTGGCCTCAACTAATATTAAAATTGAAAACATAAGACTGGTACTTAACTGAACTTCGCTTAAGCTCATCTACAGCAGCAACAACGCAGTTATCACAAACGAAAATCAAACAAACAGTAAAACAAAATAAATTCATTTAAACACGTAACACTAAAACCAGTTGGCGATAAAAATTTTTGTATAAAAACAAAAACTTGTTAAAAACAATAAATAACTAAATAGTACGCATGCATACATATTAACCCATGGGTATGTGTTTGTGTGTGAGTGTGCAAGTCAACTCATCCTACTTTGAGGCAGCAGCAGTAATGTGAGTTAAAGTAAAGTACATTCAAAACAACGCACAAAAACAACAACTTAATTACAATATTTGCGTCAGCCCAAGTGATGGCGGCTATGCACGGCATGTTGTTGTAGTTTTTTTTGTTGTTGCGCATATTTATTTACGACTACACTTTATATTTACACACGCACACACACATGCGCACATTTGTTAATGCAAAGTAAAATTATGCTGCATTTTTCATTTTTCGTCATTGTTGTTATTGTTGCTATTGTATTTTTGCTTACCTTTTCATTGCGCGTCAAAAATTCCCAAATCGGTATCGCTGAGCCGCAACACATTTGCATGGAAACGCTAAAGATGAGGCATGTTGCAATTACTTTCGCTGCAGCGCGGTTGTTGTTGTTGTTGTTGTTAAGGTTCCTCATTGTTGTTTTCTTGTCGCTATGCTGGTTGCCTTTAAGTATGCGAGTAGGTTTTTTATTTAATTTATTTGCGTGTTTTTCGCGTTCGGCGCCGATAAATAATGTCAAAAAGCGCGACTTTCAAAAAAAAAGAAGGCGTTAAAAAAAAAAACACTTCTGTTGTATAACAGCGAAAAGCAGATGCGACAAAGCGCTATTTTGAGTTTTTATGTTTTTACTTTTAATTTATTTTTATAATTTTAAATTAGTTTTTTTATTAAAATTTTTGTTTATTTCCAATTCTATTTTATTATTTTCCGCTTTGCGCCCGCATTCACATAATTTCACTGCAATGCGCGACTGACTTTCTTTTTCATCGGCCTGTGCGCGCTCGTTCGTACGCTCGATTTGCTGCGCTACGCTGGCGTTTGCTGGCTCTTTGCCACTCGGCTTAGCTGTTTTGTGGTGCGCTTGCACAATGGCTTGAAGCGTTATATCCGGCGCGTATCTACTTGTAATATGTACACCTATGAACGCACACGCGTTCAACCGGATGACTGCAGCGACGTGAATTCAATGTATAACGATTGAAAAGCGCAAGGTTTGACCTCTGCGCGCGACTTGTCTGGCTGTCGATTGGCCTCTCTATGCGCCTAGTTCCGTCTTGCGAAACACTTTCTACGGGTTTCTTTTATTTATATATGCTTAGCTTCACTCCTCCTCAACGCGACGAACTCAAATCGATTTCTGCTCTTTTAACTGTAGCGAAGACGACTCAGCGAAGACGCTGCAGACACGCTAGACAAGTTATGTAGAAAATTGTGTGAAAAAAACACACCAAGCGTTCCAAAAATAACAAAAAAGTGACGTAAATATGCTGAAATTGTGCGTTGTTGTTAGGTAAGACGTCGCTTGTTCGTGCCGCTTAACGGTTTCGCTATTTCGATATTTCAAAAGTCTTCAACTAAATTTGTATTGATTTTATTTTGAAGTTGTTTTTGTAAATTAAACTTTTTTCGTATCGCGGAATTGCACTTTGCGCTTTACAGTTTGAATAGAGACACACAAATACATATGCCGTGTGCGCTTCCGTTGTGAGTTTGTTAAAAGTCGCTTTTCCGATTCAATGATTTTACTTTTCACCACTTTTCTCTGCAATAGACATGCAATATTTGTTTAATTCAGTTTTTTATAAACAAAAAACACATCAAAAATATTTTTTCTTTTCTGGGGGCGTGAAGTACACAGCACTTTCTGGTTCGACACGTCTGTAGACTCGTTTAGAAATGCGGTCTCTCGCGCCGCAACGCAGGCATTTATACGTTAAGCGCTTGACGTTTGGCAAGCTCACTGTGTGAGGCGCATGTGGAAGAGCAGTTGGCAAGAGAACATGCTTGGTGGAAACTCGTCGCAAGCACAACGAGCGCACAAACAACGAAACAGATTACTAGTAGCTTCCAAATTCAAACAGATACGGAGTTGTTGTTAGTTCATTTACTTATGTATGTATGTCTGACTGTGCGTAAATATGTATACAGATTGGTATGCGGAGAACATCATCAGCTCGCTAGTTCCCGATTTAGTGAGTTAGTAGTCGCCAGTAGGCGCTCATCATTTGCTATTTCGGGAGAGCAACTAAGCCGGGCATAGTTGGAATGAGTGGGCTGTAGAAGGACTAACTTAAAATCGATGAGTGAGAAAAGACAGCAAGTTTCGCTCATCTACTGTGGCCGGAATGCTTGTTGCTGTTTACTCGCTGCAATTGTTCCCGCTGCGTTGAGCGTTGCATGGTGGCGGAGGGTTGGTGTATGTTGTTGCAACATTTTATGCTAGACGAAAAAGTCGTTCAACTTCACCGAGACCTTAGTCACATTTTTATACTTGTTGAGTGACGTTGCATTTTGCTGTTGTTGCATTTCAATAGCAACGAGTAAACGTTGACATTCTACTTGTAGGTGACTGCATTGACGGCGGCAACTTGATGATCGATGCGGGGTTTTGACATGAAAAAAGTCAGTTAATTAAAATTTGAAATCGAATTGAAGTATACAATGTTCTGAAAATTATTAAATGTATTTTAGTGTAAAAAATTAATTTTCTCATTAGCATGACAAAGGCAGGTAGTAAGGCATATATTTATGAAATGTAATAAAAAATAATATTTAAAAAATAAAAAAATTAAAAAATAAAAAAAAATATTTACTTCTTAATAAGAATTAAAAAAATATTATAAAATAAAATAAAACAAATTTTCACATTGAAATTTAAAACATAACAATATAAAATTATATGAAGTTTTAAGATTAAAAAAAAATATATTAATACCTTTAAGTATATAAAAAACAATAATTGGCTGAAATGTCAATAATCAATTTAAGTGATTGAAGTTCAAAAACAAAAAAAAACCTGTAAAAGCGTTAACTTCGGTTGCACCCTTTACAAATAAACAAGTTTTCCATACAAGAACTTGATTTTGATCGGTCAGTTCGTATGGAAGCTATATACCATAGTTGTCTCATCTGAACAATTTGTTCGAAGATTGTGACTTTGCTTCAGACAATAATCCATGTCAAATTTCGTGAAGATATTTTGTCAAATAAAAAAGTTTGTCATACAAGGACTACATTTTGACCGGTTAGTTTGTATGACAGCTATATCCTATATTAGTCCGATATTGGCGGTTCCGATAAATGAGCATCTCCTTGGAGAGAAAGATATATGTACAAAATTTTAGACCGATATCACAAAAACCGATATCGCGTATATATCAACAAACAGACGAACATTGCTAAATCGCTGATCATTTATATACAATATACCATATATATTTTATAGGGTTTTCAACGTTTCCTCTGTGTCTTACAAACTTCGTAGCAAAATTAATATACCCTGTTCAGGGTATAATTAACACAAAAAGGCATTTAGTAGCACAAAAAAAAATTTCAACAATTAACTTTTGAGTGAGATTAAAATTTGTTAATAATAAATGCACGTACATATTAAAAAATTTTGATCATTTTATGAATGCGCGTAAAAAGATGAGCAAAAAATGCCCACTGATTACGCAGAAAGGCTCGTTTGACACACATAAAATACAATTATAAGAAGCAAATAAGAAGCTAAAAAAAGACTAACCCACATTTAAATTGACTTACTTTCAAGTATGATGTTTTTCAGAATTTAATTTTTTTTTGCAAAATACGATGAACAAGTCAAAAATGAATTCAACAAAGCGCAAAGTAAAATTAATCATATTTAAAAATATAAAACAATTAAAGAAATTAAATAAATTTTCTTAGCTTTAAAGGACTTAAAGTTAATTAGCATTACATTAAATTTTTAACATTGTATAAAAAAATCGAGAATAAATTATAAAGAGCAACGGACTGAGTTAATGCTAATATTTCCCCATGAATGCGATGTCATATCACAAATCAAATATCTCATTATTGTACAAGCAGGTAAAATAAAGTTAGGTTAGGTGCTTAATTGATGCCATGAAAAGTACACAATTAGACTTTTAGTGATTTACCTTAAAGTGTAGTAGTAATTATTTTGAAGACTTATTCTTAAGACCTTACACTTATCTTTAACTGATACCATATATTTTTCATATACATACGTATGCATTTGTTTGAATGATTCTTTGTTCAGTTTACAATTGAGCATTCCTTGCGGGAATGATCTCACAACTTCGTCCAGCATACAACAAATACAGATGGGGCTTGTGCTTAAAGTGCTATGTATATATATCCTTGAACGAATATAAAATTTGAAATTTTGCCGTTATTCTTATTGTAATTTTATGCTATAACCCCCAAAGTTGCGGAACTTTGCTGTGGTGACTTGTTGCCCTTGTTGGGATTAATCTTTGATACTGACATCTTTTTCCCCTTGTTTACTGTCAATGATAAATTCATGTGGAACCCGACAATATTCATTCACAAGTACTGTTCAACACAGTACAGTTCACAGCATTCTACAAATATGGCCAAGGCGACAATAGAGTGTGAGCCGGTGCCTTTAATTGATGGAAGAATCTTTTTTCTTCACCAAATTGGGCAGTTTTTCTGTAATATGGCTTTGAATTGACCCAATAACTCGACATAGATTAGCCTTCACCTTCCATATGTGGTGGTTGTTGTACCAATGATCACATGTCAAACCCAATGATCCCCGAAAAACGTTGACAATTACCTTTCACCTTTTTTGCAGCATATTCACTCTCTTTTGACTGTACTTGGTCTCTGGTGTGCACTAGCAGATCCATGTTTTGTCGACAGTCACGAAATGATGCAGGAACTCCTTGGGGTTGCACTTGACTGCTGATCAAACTCCATCCGTGCTTAGACCATTTCAAACTTATATGAAATTTCATAACAAAATTCGTTCCACAATTAAAAAAACAGTTAAATTTTATGCTTTGAGGACTTAACCTTCTCGATAAGGTAGGTATTTGGGTGATATAAAAGAAACCAGCAGTTAGTTTCGTGAGATCGCAGACCATCCGTGCACTCGTTATGGAACGGATAATAAATTTAGGTTGATGTTTTGGCTTTTAACATTGAATGGCGTACGAGAGATTTTATTACGAATGAAACACTAGTTCACAGCCATTTAACTAGTATATTAGATTTGCTTTCTGACTTAACTTAGTTCTAGTACGGAAATAAAGTCCCATTGGTCAATCCATTCGAAATATTATATGATGCAGCAATTTGAGGAGTCTCATTCAATTTCCTTAGAGGCACAAACTACCGCAAGGTCAAGTCCACAGGCTTTAGTATCTTGTATGTAGTGTGGAAGATTTCATACTCTTCCAGCCCTTGAACGACATGTTGCTTACAGGTTGGTTGTCAAATTTCTGCTCTCATTAAGAAAGTCTTGAGAATATATGCAAAGTTACAAGTCATTCTGTTGATTAATTCTTTGTTTACAAGCCATTTGAAGTTGACGTGTCAGAGTATTTTTTTAATATGGAAAACATTTAATATCGCGCAGTAATTAGATTATTGGTTTTGAAAGGTTTAAAAGCAAAGGAAATTTTTTCACAATTGTTCGAAGTGAATAAGCAGTCCTCACCTTCAAAACGCACCGCTGAATTTTGGGCTGGTGAATTTAAACATGGTCGTAGACTTGATGACGATCAAAGAGAAGGATAAACAAAAACCGCAACCACACCAGAAATCATTAAGCAAGTTTATAATATTGTTAGTGAAGATTCAAGTTTGACTAATCGTGAAATTGCTTATGTCATAGACAACTCAGATGAACGAGTACCTCATATTTTACATTGAGAATTACATATGAAAAAGCTGTTTGGGAAGTTAGTGCCACACTTGTTAACAATTCAACAAAAACTGGATCGAAAACAAATTTCTCAGCATATTTTGGAGCGTTTTAAACAGAATAAAACCAATTTCTTGCGTCGTTTTATAACTATGGATGAAACTTGGATTTACCACCATGATCCTAAGTTGAAACAAGAACGTTTAAAGTGGACTTCAAGCTGGTTGTTCAGCTCCAAATAAGTCACAACGATCAGCAAAGAAGGTTATGGCATCAGTTTTTTGGGATGCAAAAGGAATTTTATTGATTGATTATCTGCAGAAAGGTGGTCTGAATGTTGTTGCATACTTTTGGATCAGCTTGATGAAAAAATTCGTGAGAAAATACATGGTTTGCAGCAAAAAAAATCATTTTTCATCAAGACAATGCACCTGCTCCCAAAGATGTTTTAACAGTGACAAAATTCAACGAATTAAAGTATGAATTGCTTGAGCATCCACCGTATTCATCAGTTCTTTTCTTCCTACATGTAAGGCTTCGTGACGGCGTTAACCACCACATGCAACAAATATCTGCGTGTGACATTGCCAAGTTTGGTAACAAATGGAATTCGCACGGGGTCAAATCTGAAAAATACGGTAATCCGGCGTCGAGTTGTCACAAGTATTCGTCATGGTAGAACCCTATGACCGTTTTCCACGTTTTTAAGTAGTCACATATCGTGAATTTCAAAAAAAAAAAAACAATGGTAAACACCTCTTCGGCCAATAGGGCAGTCTGCAACTTTTTTAGAACAGTTGCAGCGGTTGGTTTCAGCACTGTTTCGACTGTTTAGCTTGCTTTAGTAGCTTCACGGTTGCGCTTATCGGCCGGTGTACGAAAACGCGGTCCCCTCTTCCCGAACATTCTCATACACAATTTTCAAGTAGCATATGAACCAAGCAGTTTTTTTTAGATGTTTACTGCCACGGCTATCTCACGCACGACGTGATGGCAATACGAGAGTGTGGACGTTTGTCATCCTTCATGGTTCCACTGTTTTCGGCACTATTGGACTTAGGTCAACAAAACTTACATGTGATCCTTGAATCTCGTTAAACCATATAGGAAGAATATTTACTGCATGAAATTAAATTTCTCTTGTAAGCTAAGCACTTATCGGATCACTTTCTTAAGGAATTTAAATTGGTTATTCGTTCTTCCTTTTAGCTCCGAGGACGAATACAGAAATAATTATTAAAAAACCGCCTGAGCCAAGAAAAAGTTTAGAAGTAACTACCCGAAAACCTCCACAAGTAGGGTCCAATGGAATAACAGGATTTAGAATTATTCTTTAAAATTGCTAATATGGCATTTTAAGATGACTATTAATAAACCTTATACCGTAAATGATTAAAAATTTTTATTTCAAAATAGGAAAACACTTTCTGCAAAACATTTACACACACATATTTGCATATACATACATACTGGTATCGTAGATCTTGTATCCCAAATACGACTATCTAGAGAACTTAAATGTAGTGAAATTTTAAACGATTTGTCTCTTCTCATTTGTAAAAATATGAAACTCATTATATATAAATACTCGTAAGCAACTCAACTCACACACACACACTAACAAATGTCTAAGGAGCACAAGTTCGTTTCTTAAGTTTTTTGTTTTCATATAAAATCCCCCCAAAGACATCAAGTTGGAACGATTAACTGTTTGCACGCGAAAATCGCATAAATCTTTTAATGTCACGAAGTAATCCTTTTAACAAATTCGTTTGTTTTTTAGCAACTGCTTAACGGTAAACCAATGAATAGATGGTTCAAACCGCGCCCACATGCACTTAAA